GGTGAGACGGCAGGGCCGGGGTAGGAAGGGAGGGAGGGAGGGAGGGAGGGGGGTGCGTGGGAGGAGGGGAAAGCCCTTCGTCCTCGCCCGGTCCCTGAGGGGCAGGGAGGGGCCGGTGCGCCCTCCCGTGGGGCCCGTTGCCAGCGCTGTCGTGCTACATACACAGTGTGAGAGCCGAAAGCGGGATTTAAACAGGGGTTTTTAGGAGCTTGCATGGGTAGTGTGTGCTTTCCTTGCCTGGGCTTGACATTTCCCTGGAAATTGCTATTCCCAAAACACAGTCTGAGCTGCCAGCTGAGCAAGCTCACATGTGGATCCTCTTAGAAGTAGTACACTAGCCATGTATGAAATACAGGTAATAGGAGAACTCATTTATTTTGTCTCTCCTTGTACCACAGCAATTGCCGGCCTTATTTAGAACGTGTTAGGAATATTTGTGGCTTTTCATAAAGCCGTGATTAGCTGTGTTTTTACGGAGCATGAAATTGTTCTGTACCTAGTCAGCCAGAGGAGAATCAAGCCCATAGTTCATAAGAGACTGCCACAATGGCCAGACAGTAAATCTGTGTTGTTCCCTTGCCAAGGTAAAGCAGTGCTGTTTTACACCAGAGAATGCCAGGTTCTTTGCACCGCTATGAATGAAGGAACTGGATTGCGATTCCTCTGTTCCCATTACTTGTGCTTGACATAAGCATTTATGGGTCTGCACAGTAGGTTAGGAAGCTGATCTGCCTAAAAATCCAGCAGCAAAGACACACCCGATCCTCCCCCCATGCTAGTGTTTCAAAAGTCTTTGACTTTGTGGAAAGAATACTCGCTGGCTAGGTGCTTTTACTTTGTCTAAAATCTGTCAATGAGACAAATTTTTGCAGTTACATTCTTGCATCTGTATTCCATAGGTCAAAAGCTTCCAGTGTGTTCTCCAAAGGTAACAATCCTTAAGTTTTTAAACTCGTGTTGCATGGGAAGTAATGTGTTATACAAATATTTTAAAAGTAGCCAAAGACTGGGAGAGACTGAAACCTGGATTTGGGCTGGATATATAGTTGGACGGATCCTGGGATCAGGAAGTGTGACTTGCCATTTTAGGATCAGGAACTGTCCCAAATATGAGGTGAAGATTTGAGTTCTTTAACAGCTAAGATGTGGATTTGTCTGTCCTTAGTTCCTCCAGAAGGATTTGCCACTCAGCTAGCGTTTTGTGGTGCTCTAGATGCTGTGGGGTTTTTTTTAGGAATACTGTACGTTGATATATGCAGCTGTTCTTTAAAGAAAAATGGTTTTCAAACGTTATCTTTAAAAAAAGATCTCTGAGATTCTTGTCATGGTTTGACTCAGGATTGGCAATTG